TGTTTATTATTGTTGAGAGAGAGAGACAGACAGACAGACAGACAGACAGAGAGCAAGCAGGGGAGGGGCAGAGAAAGAAGGAGACACAGAATCCAAAGCAGGCTCCAGGCTCCGAGCTGTCAGCACAGAGCCCGAAGCATGGCTTGAACTCATGAACCACGAGATCATGACCTGAACTGAAGTCGGCCGCTTAACCAACTGAGCCACCCAGGTGCCCCTTGAACTTTTTTGTAATGTTTTATTTTTATTTTTGAGAGAGAGAGCGTGAGTACGGGAGGGGCAGAGGGGGAAGCAGAGGATCTGAAGCAGGCTCTGTGCTGACAGCAGCGAGCCCGACGTGGGGCTCAAACTCACAAACCGTGAGATCACGCCCTGAACCAAAGTCAGACAGTCAACCGACTGAGTGAGCCACCCATGTGCCCCTTGACTTTTGAACTTCTGACCTCCAGAACCATAAGAAATTTGTGTTAAGCGTGTGGTGATTTGCTATAGGAGCAATGGAAAACAAATGTAGCCTAGAACAGTGGCCCTAAACACTGGGGCACTTTTGCCTCTTCAGGAGACATTTTGGCAACGTCTGGAGACGTTTTTGGTTGTCACAACCCTCCGAGTACACCTGGTATCTAGTGAATAGTGTACCGAGTGCACCAGGGATGCTGCTAGACACTCTACAGTGCACAGCACAGGCCCCACAACCCAGAAGTATTCAGCTCAGAATGTTAAAAGTTCCGAGAAACCCCACTTTAGAAAGATTCTGGGGGAAGCTCTAGGAGCTTCCCCTGACCCACTCCCCCTCCTCTCCTCTTTAAAAGCAGATCTCCATGCATACCGGTCCTGGTGTTTCTTTTGAACTGAAGAAATAAACTTACTCACTGACGAGAACAGCACCCCGCGGCTGAACCCAAGGAGAGAAGTCAACGTTTGCTCCGCTGAGGCTCATAAAAAGATCACTGTGGCACATACACTGTGCTTTGTGCATATAAAACTGTCATGGAGCAAAGGCAATTTTATTGTTTTAAAAATCAGAAAAACACATTTTAGAATACAAAGCACATAATATTGTCATTATAGCTTCGGTTTACAAAATGGACAAGAGAGCTTGAATTTAATTTTTAATCATTTGCTGGGCACCCTTCTCATGTACCCGGGACACTCTGTACTCCTGGCGGGTCAGACCAGGGATCCAGCGTGTCTCACTTCTCAGGGGAGCTCTGTGTTTACATAGCCTCTCGGTGGCCAAACCATGTGAACGTTTGGAACAAAAGGGGCTGTGTCTTATTCCTCGCCAGCCCCGAGCCAAGAGCACAATGCCTGGCACACAGCACGTTCTATGTAAATGCATGTTGCGTGAATGAGTAATTAGAGAAAAGATGGCAAGTTCTATGGACATCATGGGCAGTGCAGGCGTGGAGTGGAGGGACTATGCCATTATAATTACAAGGCATCTGGGGCTTAGTTAGCTTGAGACATGGCTGAGATCCTGATTAGGAAAACCTGGATCACAGGGAGGCCCTTAAAAAGCACCCAGGACTACGATCTGGACCAACAGCCTTCGAGGACAAATAGACCTGGGTTCAAGTCCTGTCTCTGCCACTACTAGCTGAGTGACATTAGGCAAATTACTTAACCTCTCTGAACTTCAGCTTCCTCATCTGTAAAATTCACTCATCCTACAAAGCGGAGCAGAGTAAGCAGAGAAGGAGAGGTAAGAGAGGTGGCCAAGGGTCATAAAAAGCTGCTGTGGCATAGACAGCTAGCTCTCCACCACAGATTTGTGCTCCCCTGCCCCACCACGGACTACATTTCCCAGCATCCTGTGCATCTAGGTGGGGCCATGTGACTGCATTCGGGCCAATGGAATGTGGGCAGGAGTAACTGGCGCTGCTTCCAGGCAGTCCATTTTCCACAACCTGGTCAATTCTCCCTCAACTGCAATCCTGCCCTGAGACACGTAGCACAGAACAGATTTGCAGCATTTCGGTGTCACTTACAAAGCACTTACACCATAGTTCCTCTCAGTTCCCTGGAGGACACAGGCACACAGCCAGGCCTGCCCTCCCTACCCAACCCCTGGCCAACTGTTCTGCTCATCCTTCAGGTCTCAGTTTAGATGCCGCCTCCTCCAGGGAGCCTCCCCTGAAGCCCAGGAGGTAGGCACTATTAGCTTCATCCTACAGACAAGGAAACTGAGGAACAGAGGGGTTAAGTGACTTCCCCAAAATCACATGGCTAGAAAGTGGGATAGTTGGGTGTGAAGACAGTGTGGGCTAAATCCAGGGCTTTTACTCGCCATCACTTGCTAAATCAGTCCTTCTAAAAGTGCGGTCATGGGACCACCAGTAGCAGCAGCAGCAGAACATGGTATTTTCCAATTCTCGGGCCTCACTCCAGTCCCACTGAAGTAAACTCTGGAGGTGGGCCCAGCAATCTGTGTTTAAACAAGCTCACCAGGTGGTTCTGATAATGTGCAGTTAAGTTCCAGAACCAACGGCCTAGAGAAATTCTCTGCAGCTGACTCCACCTGTGGAGTCCTTGCTAGGGCGAGAAAGTGTCACAGCTGAAGATCTGAACACTTGTCCACCCCTCTGACTTTCTAGCCATTTGAAATGCTTCTCTGGGTGTTCCCAGCCCTAGGGTTTTGGGGACCCAGAGACCATCATCTCCTATTTTATCATCAGCATGTTAGTAACTCGCTGGTTCCTTTGTTCAGAGCCTTCTGCTTGTGCCCATCAGTCTTGTCTACAAGGGTTCAATCCAGCAACATTCAAATACCCAAGGCACTTTAGGGGCACCTGGGTGGCTCAGCTGGTTGAGCTTCTGACTCTTGATTCTGGCTCAGGTCATGATCCCAGCGTTGTGGGATCAAGCCCCACATCGGGCTCCATGCTGAGCATGGAGCCTGCTTAAGATTCTCTCTCTCTCTCTCTCTCTCTCTCTCTCTCTCCCCCCCCCCCCCCACTGTCCCTCTCCCCCACTCACATGCTCTCCTCTCTCTCCCTCTCAAAAACAAAACAAAAAACGCTTTCATCCTGTGGTGGCCACCATAATCACCTTCTTCTAGAATATTCTCAGTTTACTAAGGCAACAGTCTGCAGCTTCTTGGTCAGCAGAACTGATCTCTCCAACACAAAACTTTTATTTTTTAATCAGTCCAGCCAGCTGCTATTACTTTGGATATAGTCCCAACCATCAATTTTTTTTCTGCTTCAGCTTTAAGAACTGGGTCAGAAAGAGTGATTCCTAGAGAAGGAGCTTGAACAAATCCAAGTTTCTGCCGTTGACCTTCCATTTTCTCCCACAATGTTCTCTGTGTCCCGGCAACTGGCTGTCAATCCTGCCAAAGACTGGACAAGACTTCTTTGGGGAATCTGACCAGTGTGAGAAAAAAGGCCTTAAGGACGCCCTTCCCCAGGGAAACAGCCCAGCCAGATCGCCCGGATGCAAAGGCCACAGCCAACAAACCCCACGCACAGCCCCAGACCTTCCAAAGAGCTTACTGGAGCCCCATTCCCTTCAGCAGACATGGACCCCCAAGGGAGGCAGAAAGGGGGGGTGGGGCTCTGCTCCACAGTCATTCAGGGGCCCAGACTCCTCCCGTCTGGTAGCTCTGCCCTCTCCTAGGCCCTCAGAGCCCTCCAAATCCATTGGTAAATGTGGACAGAGGGGGCGGGAGGTTTTTGGGGTTCAAGCTCAAGAGGGGCACTCGCCATTTCTGCTCATATCCCATCAGCCAAAATGCAGTCACACAGCCCACCAAACTGTAAGGGAGCCTGGGAAATTCAGTCAGGTGATACCCCTGGAAGAGGGGACTAATCGCCATCTCTGCCATATTACACATTAAAAACGGTTTAAAATAAACTCAGGGCTACATCCTCAATCAGCCAAAAAGCAGTGTGCCATCACCGAAAGCACAAAAGAGAGAAAGTGTACATCACAGAATGTACACAATCCATCCTACACAATCTGAAACCATCTTAAGTGATCGTTAGGCTCTGACTTTCTGCCTCCTCTGACCCCTGCAAACCCTTCTTTGAGAAGGGAACTCAAAGGAGGGAGGACGGCCATCCCAACTGTGTCACACCTGAATCCACATCGTCTACAAGCTTTATCGTATTTGTTGAGTTAATACATGAACAAAGGAATGAATGTGTGCATACGCTATCTCTAAACCCTACCTCCTTCCACAGGCATCCTTTCCAAATCAGCTCAAACATCACCTCCTCCAGGAAGCCTCCCAGTAACCTCCCCCCCTCCACGCACCTCCACACAGCGGGCACAACTGGCTCCCACCTGCTTGCTCTAAGGGTCCGCGCTTAGTCCCTTTTGCGCATTAGTTGGCTGTTAGACAACCCTGGGCTTCGGTTTCCTCCTCTATAAAATCATAGGGCTGGACTATGTCACTCCATTTCCTGGCTGAAACTGTGGCCCCAGGCAAGCAGCGTCCCGGGCCAAGGGCCCAGAAGTCAGGCTCCCAGAGTGTCCCCACAGCACATGTAGCGGCCCCTTCCCATGCGGCCCATCTGTCACACTAGGGGCGCAGCCGGGCTGGCTCCCCCTCAGTCCTCCGCCCGGGTGCTGGCTGATCTAGGCCGGGATTTACCCAAGAGGCCTCCACCCCCGCGCCGCCACTCGCCTATCAATGCCCGGCCCTCGGCGCACATGTCGGCGGAGCCTGCCAACACCCAAACTCCCTCCCGCAGTCAACAATACAGCAAGGGCGCGTCTACGCTGTCCTCGGGGTTCCAGGAATTCAGGCCTCTTGTTCAGGGGCCAGGGTAGGGCATGCGGCTCGGGGCCTCCCGCAGGAGACAGGAAGGCAGCACTGCCCCCACCCTCTACGGGCTCTGAGGAGCCCGGGGCGGAGGCCCCCAAACTGCCTCTCCCTGCGGACGGCGTGCCAAGTGTTTTCCCAACAGACACTGCCGTTAATCTGCATGACTCCCCGCTTTTACAGAAGCAAACACAGAGTCCCAAAGAGTTGAACCCACAGAAGAAGCGCTTCACACACTCTGCGCCGCCTCCGCCCCACTTCCAGGCTCGGACCCAGCGCGCTCCGGGAGCCGGTGCACCGGGGCGCGCCAGGCCTGCAGCGCCGGATCCCGGCCCCCCATCCGCCTGGCTACACGCGGCCAGCACTTACCTCCTTCGGACGGACAGGCACCGCAGCCGCTGCCCACGGCCGCGAAGAACCAGAGGAGTTGGCAGAGGCTCGCGGCCCGGTGCTCCAGGGTGCAGGGCGGGCGGGCCCCCCGAAAGTCCCGGGGAGCGGCGAGCAGGGCGCACCGGCAGGCGCTCCTGGGAGGCAGAGAGGGCTGCACAGGGCGGTTGGATAGATCTCGGGGCGCGGCGGCCGCCGGCACGATCCCGGGGCGCGATGGGCCGCTGGAACGATCCCGGGGCGCTGAGGACGCGTGTCGGGGGCGGGAGCGCCGGCGACAGTCAGCGGAGCTGGGGCAGCTGCAGCGCAGGGAAACGGACGTCGGATCCCGGCAGGAGCGGGGCTGGGGCACCAGCCGGCGGGCAGGGGCGGAGCTCTGGCCCGGCGGGCGCACCGCGCGGCACTTACGTGCCCGCCCCCCGGTGGCCGCCACCGCTCCTGCAGCAGCCACGCAAGTCTCCAGGCCCCAGTGCACAACCCGCGCTGAATGCCAGCCTCCCCGCCTGCTGACTACAAGGCGTCCGGACCTAACGTGGGGGGCGGTCCTAGCACCCACCCGCGAAAGGGGCGCCCTCCCGGTGGGTAATTCGAGAAGTCCTTTCCAAAATCACTAGAAATCCATCTCATTGTTTGAGTCTCCATGTGTAACCTTAAAATATTTTTATCCGAAATTGTTTTTTCCCCTGATTTCTTCTTTGTTAAAACGTAGGCACTTACGACAATTGCAGCTATTTGTGTGATTATTTGATTAGTATCCCCTGTAGACGTTCCTTGCCATTCCAGTAAATTGCCGTATTCCTAACTCTCAAGGCTCGGCATATAGTAAATGTTTAATAAACACCTGTGGAATGAATGGATAAATATAGAAAGGTATAAAGAAGAAAGGATACAAAACGTGTGATAACTACTGTGAACATGCTGATACTATATCCTTCCAGATACTTTTCTAATAAACTTTTAGAAATTTCACGGCTCTTATTTCAGATATAATTTCAGATATACAAATAATAAGTGATATTTATTGAGTGATTTATCTCATTCCAGTTTCACACCAACCCTGTGAGTAGGTTGCATTAGCTCTATTTCACAGATCATAAAACTGAGGCTTACATAGATTTTTTTTTTTTTTAAGTTTTACTTATTTAAGTAATCTCTAACACCCAACATGGGACTCAAACTCACCACCCCAAGATCAAGAGTGGTGCACTCCTCCAGCTGAGTCAGCCAGGCATCCCTGCCCAAGAGATTTCTAAGGTGGCTCCTCTTGGCAAAGGGCATCTATATTACAGGAGCTGGAGGGCATGCTGAGTCTTTGCTCAGGTGAGGCCCAGCAAACACAGAGACCACAGGTGCAGGCAGACCAGAGACAGACAACGATATCTGGGTATACATGTAGGTATATTCACATTTTTCTAAGGAAGAGTGACTCCTTTCTCTTGCTCCTTTCCCTGGGTGACACTAGCTTGTGAACATGTTTTTGTAGTCAAGAGCCACTTGCTTTGGTATATGCTTTTTGGTATATGTTATTTTGTAACACTTGCTTTGGTATATGGGGGATGTAGTAGGCGCTGATATTTTTACAGGACACTCACTTTGTGCAAGTGACTGTGGTAAGTAACTGCTTTACAGGATCAGCTCTTTGATTACCATCCCAATGCTCTTATTGTCCCCACTTCATACACAGGCTGAGACAGGTTAAAGGACTTTCCCAAGGTTACACAGTCAATGGCAGACCCAGGATTTGACCCAGGCATGAGTATACACTGGCCCCTCAAGTGTCCTGTCCCTAAGCCTTGACTCTTCAGTTTTTGAGGTCCCTGAAAATTCAGATTCCCCTGAGAGAGCAAAGGCCTTCAGCTTACCAGGTGCCATGGCCTCTGTAGGGAGCAGGTTCAAGTTTATGTGGCTTGAGGAAGGGGGATGACATATGGCAGCATCTCATAAGGTAGTGGGGGGGGGGGGGGGGGGATGAATAAAATCAAATGGTCTTGAAACCTATCACTGAGTGTTGTAGCCTCTGGCCTCTGTACTACAAGTTTTGGAAAATACCAGAGACAGTAGATATTTTGGTTTGATGTTTTGGGAAAACTGGCTTTTGGCAAGACAAAATTGCACCTGAAATTCTGACGGTGGGAACGTTGGGCAGGAACAGAGTCTGAGCTACTCTGTCCAAGTCCAAAACCAGACAAAAAACAAAACAAAAAAAAAAACCCACCAAGACTGCATTACTTAACTACGTAAAGCTCTGAGTGGTGTTGGGCAAGTTATTTAACTCCTCTGAGCCTCTGTAAGTTTTGTCTGCCCAGAAGTCCCCTTCTTTGCAGGAGGATCTTAATTTGTCCTCAGGAAACCAGCTCACCTTATTCTCAGTTTGTGAGGATGGCCCTTCCCACTGACGTGGGGCCAAGTGTGAACACACCAGAAGACCTGGCCAATCAGCACATTCCATCCTTTTAGCCACACTGATTGGTTCTGGGATGAGCATGTGACCCAAGCCAGGCCAATGAGATACTTATCTGCATCTTTTCTAGCAAGCATAAAAACGAGAATCTCTTTTCCAGAGAGTTGTCAAGCTAATAGGATTTAAGCCTAGGGTTTCTGGACATTCATTCTCATGGCAAAAATTTATTAAGCCCCTATTGTGGGCCAAGTATTGTGCTAGGAGTTGGGGGAAAGGCCTGCCTTCGGAGAACTAATGGGGTAAGAAATGGGAGAACGGCAATTTCTCTCATAGTCATTATTCCATCATACCATTATAAACCTCCAGGTGTGCCAGGAGCGAGAGGTATGGGCAACAAGGAGAGATTATAAGGCAAACCTGCTCAGAAAGGCTTCTCTGAAGAAATGGCATTTGAGCCGGGCTCTCAAGGAAAAGTAGGCATCACTTCCAGTAGCTTTGGGAAGACAGTGCCTGGGTGGCCTCAGCAAGGAGATGTGGGTCAGAACCATTCTTGGTTTTTACTCAGTCCTTGATCACCTCCTATAACCATCGCACAAAGTTGTTCAGACTTTACTGAAAAGTTTGGGGTAACAAGAATTAAATATAGGACGGAAAACATTAAACCATACTAGCAATGTTACAGTATCCAAGAGGAAGAATAAACCCTTCCCAGGGCACTCTTCATTGGCCCACTCCAGTTCCAAGCCTTGCTCCCCTGTCCTAAAGCCTGCCCCTCCTTCTGTCACACAGGCAGCCATCTCCTCTTCAAGCTCTGAGGGACAAAATCCCCGCCTCTATTGGAAAGATCCCTCTTCTCACCGACAGGGAGTTGGTTTTTTTCCCCCTTTCCCACCAGAGGAGTCCAGAGTAAGGGACTCAATAACCCACAAGATGCAAAAGATACCATCAAGAAAGTGAAAAGACACACCTGAAGCTAATGTAACACTGTGTGGTTGTGACTCAACAATACTTTAAAAAAAAAAAAAGACAGTGAGAAGACATTTCAGATAATGGGAGAAAATATTGACGAATTGTGTATCTCATAAAGGATTTGTAGCTAGAATATATAGAGAGCTCTTACCACTCAAAGAAAACCCTTTGGGCTTAACCACTTTGAAAACATTTGCTTCAAAAAATTAAACATTGGGTTACCATACAACCCAGCAATTCCATTCCCAAGAGAAATAAAAACATGCCTACACAAAAACTCATACATGAATGTTCAGAACAGTATTAGTCATAATAGCCAAAATGTGAAAACCCAACTGTCCATCAGCTGATGAACAGGTAATTAAAATGTGGTATATCCATACAACGAAATATTATTTGGCAGTAAATATGAATGAAGCACTGACACATGCTACAACATGGATGAACCTTAAAAAAATTATGCTAAGAGGCACCCGGCTCGCTCAGTCGGTGGAACGAACGACTATTATTCTTGCGGTTGTGGGTTCGAGCCCGACATTGGGCGTAGCGATTACTTAAAAATTAAATCTTTAAGGAAAAACCATTATGCTAAGCGAAAGGAGCTAGTCACAAAAGGCAACTTACTATATAAATTTATTGATAGAAAATGTCCAGATTGGGGAAATTCAAAGTGACAGAAGGTAGATTATTGGTTGCCTGGGGCTGGGAGGGGAGTTTGGGGAGAATGGGTGTGGGGCTTCTTTTTGGGGGCTATGAAAATGTTCTAAAATTAATAATCATGGTGATGGTTGCAAACTTTGAATATACTGAAACAAAAACAAAACCTGAATTATACACTTTAAATGGGTATAGTGGTGCCTGGGTGGCTCACTGGATGGAGCATTTGACTCTTGATTTCAGCTCAGGTCATGATCCCGGGGTGGTGGGATTGAGCCCCGCGTCGGGCTCTGCGTGGAGTGTGGAGCCTGCTTAAGATTTTCCCTCTGTCTCTCTCTCTTTCTCTCCTTCCCTCTGCTCAGGTATTCTCTCTTTAAAATAAGCAAATAAATAAATGGGGATATTGTACGGCATGTGAGTCACATCACATTAGAGGTGTTAACCACCCCCCCCCCCAACACACACACACACAAAGTGCTCATGGAGTCTCCATCTCACCACGGTGCTTTGGGGTGTGGCAGCAGAAGAAAGGTCACCAGAAGCAGTAGCCTAGCTCTTACTCGCACTAGCCCGGTCGCGGATACATGGCTGTTCTCACCTTCCAGGAGATGGGTATAACCCTCACAGAGGCTCAGAAAGGATGGAGAACCACACTAGCCCCATATGCCACAGAAGGGAAATGTTCTCAAGTGTTAAAGGCTCAGATCTCCTGTCCGTAGGAGCCTGCGTCCGCAGCGGTTATAGAGCGATTTTAGGTTCACAGCAGAACTGAGCGGGAGGTCCAAGATTTCCCATATCTCCCCTGTCCCCACACAGGCACGGCCTCCCTGTCATCAATGTCCCCCACCAGAGCGGTACATTTGTTACAAGTGGTGAACTTACACTGACACATCATTATCACCCAAGTCCATTGTCAACATTAGGGTTCGCTCTGGGTGTTGTACATTCCATGAATCTGCACAAATGTATAATGACATGTACCCACTGCTGTAGTATCATATACAGTAGTTTCTCTGCCCTATAAAATCCTGTCTCCCAACTTTCGGGAACCACAGTGAGATGCTTTAAAGCAGTAGCTTGAAAGTCCTCCTTGGCGCACTTCTGTGGCTCCGAAGGTCCCCGGCCTCCTGGGCATAAAAAATGAAGTGTATCACAGAACCATGGCATAGCCCAAGTGTAGCTATAGGAAGACTCACACAAAATGACTACACTTGGGTCTTTTGGGTGGTGCATTTCTCTCCTTGCCTTGTGCAAAGCAAACCCCAGGAACAGAGTGGGGCATTTACACACATCTGCATAGGAAAAGATCTGGAAGGTCACTCTTTACAGGGTAAAGAGCTCCTGCCTGAGCTGTGGGGATTCAGTTGTAAAGGACAGCGATGGTGAGGAAGAGAACTTCCCTCCAACTTTA